GCATATCGAATACGTCACGGGTAGCTTACCAGGCTCTGCCGCGGAGGCGAGATACTCTTGGTAGCTTGCTGGGCTCTCTGAGAGGAGCGGAGGAATCGAACTCGGGTCGGCCATGTTGGCTGCGTGCAAGGCAAATGACCTACCGCTGTGCTATCGCTCCAGCAGGAAAACTAAAAGCAATCCACCTGTGTATGAACTGGTGAGTAGAGGCGCAGAATATGGTATGTGCAAACAATGGAACACATGCTGATGTATTTTGGGGGGCTTGGAGCTATACAAGTAGTGTAGTATTTGGGAGCTACTCCCTGCAGTGCTCAGGGGACTATGTATAACTTCTTGGGAGAAACATCTACTAAGTTCCCTGCATGTATTTTTTCATTCATGTCAGATATGGAACCCAAGCTGTCCCCATACAAAACATTCACTCATCCCGTTGAGTTAGCTCTTCAGCCCACAATGATATCTTTTTAGTCTAAAAGTAGCAGGAATTTCTGAAGTACCCTGCAAAATGCTTAAACCTTGAGAGCATTGTGCTAAGTGAAAGAAGCTGACGGGCTCATCTTTATATGGACTTGGTTCTCTTCCTCGCCTCCAGCAATTAGGATGACCATAATGATAGCTGGGTTTAGCAGCCCCCCCACCACCACCCCACCATTCTCCAGGATCCTGGTTCAAGCATCCACAACAACTCAGTGGGTCTGAGGGTAATTATCTCAGATACTATCTCCCTGCACCTGTCCACAGCTTTCTAACTTGCGTCTCTAAACTGTCTTCCAGAGTTTGCTGAGGCTTTCCTCCAGCTGCTTGTTGCTTCGGGTGGATGAAATGAGCAGACCACAAACCAGTTCCCTCATTGCAGTAATCCCTTCCTTCCTTCCTTCCTTCCTTCCTTCCTTCCTTCCTTCCTTCCTTCCTTCCTTTGTTTGGCTATGGATTCTTCCAACCATCCAGCTTCATTTGCTTGCCGTTCCTGAGCATTCCTGGTTCACTGAGGCTGCCGCCCCACCCACTTTCTTAGTGCTGTTCATTTTTTTTTTCAGGTAACTGTATACAAATTCCGTCATCTACAGCTTCTCAGAACGTCCCTGCCCAAAACCACTGCCACAGATTTAAAAAGAACTTAATTTGGAGGTCAAAGTTTGGACATACTTTTCTGATATGTGAAAGAACATCCAGATACACAAAATCAAATGTATATTGAAGGGCTTTTGCCCTCGTTAAAATGGGGTCAAGATGATTATAATCCCTAGAGAAAAAATAGTTTACGGCTTGACAACCATTTGCTGGGTTCTGAGACTAATACAGAGCCGGTGTCTTCTCTCAGAGTCCCCTGGGGGAAAAGGTGGCAGAGTAGATGGTGATCCTGAGAAGAAAAAGGAGCAGGAACACAGATTTTATGTCTGTTAGATTCTTACGCCCATGCTCCTGCAGTGCCAAGGCCTGACGTTCTGGAATGGATGGAGGGCTCCCCAAATAATCCTGCAACAGTTTAAAGAATGGCCTGGTGTTGTCCACTAGGTGGCACCCAGGAGCTGGGGTCATTCACTCAACCCAAATCTGTCCTGCTCGTATGACAGGAATCAAACACCAGCAAGAAGAGCTAATCACAGAAATACAAGGAAGGTTCACCAGCAAAGGGAACATTTAGGTGTATTGATGCACCTCACCTTGTAAACGTAGTGCAAGAGGAGCTGTGGTGACCAGGGCAGAGCGAAAGACCTGAGTTAGTGGAGAGACCAAGCTTCTGGATGGGAAGGCATCATCTGATTAAAAACATCAGTTCTACTGCCATAATAATAAACAAATTAAAGGCAAAAATCCCAGAAGAGGTTTTCCTGAAATTTAATAAGCTGATTTCAAAATGTTTCTAGGCTGATAAAATCTCAAGGCTGAACTAGGCTGCCAAAACGAAGAAGGACTAAAATGACTGTACTTTCAATGCATGTACACTGGCATCGGATGCATCCATCGAGGAACTGATGGTTCAAATGCGAAAAATCAAGTACGACATCATTGATCTGACCAAGGCGAGAAGACATCTATCATATCACACCATTTTCAACACTGAAGAACTGTTCCTCAGAACACACGACAAAAGAGGCGTCGGTGGTGTCAGTGTCCTTGTCAACACGAACTTGGCCATGAGCATTGATTCATTCGAATGCCTAACAACTCGAATTGGGCAATTACACTTGAATAGATGTGGCTCACTGCCAGCAGTTTCTATCTTCGTTGTCTACACACCAACATCCAATAACAATGAAGAAGAAATTGAGAAGTTCTACATGGAGCTGGAGAAGTTCTATAAAGAAACAGATACCAAATGGGACTGTCACTGTCCTTCCATTGTTCATCGATTTGCTCGAGCAGGCCCAGTAACGTCTCCATTGTGAGACTTTGTTGTTACTGTGTTTGGCATATCGAATACGCCACGGGTATCTTGCCAGGCTTTGCCGTGTGGGGGAGATACTCTCGGTAGTTTGCCGGGCTCTCTGAGAGGGGCAGAGAAATCAAACTCGGATCAGCCATGTTGGCTGCGTGCAAGGCAAACGCCCTACCTGCTGTGCTATCTCTCCAACCCTACTAAATGGGACAATAGAAGTTAATCTAACACAAAAAAAGGAAATTCAAACCCAGACTTAGCCATAAACAGTTGTTTTGTTTTGGGACCACAACCAGCAATGCTCAGGCATTACTCATGGCTCTACACTCAGGAATTACTCCTGGCAGTGCTCAGGGGACCATCTGGGATGCCAGGATCAAACCTGGGTCAGTCACATGCTAGGCAAGCACCCTCCCTGCTGTACTGTGGCTCTGGCCCCATCCATAAGCATTTTTAGTGTAAATAATCTAAACATCCATATCAAAAGGCAAAGCTTGTCAGATTGCATTTTTTCATTTTGTTTTCATAAGTTTGTTCACATTGATTGCATTCAATATTTCAACACAAATTCCACCACCATTACACCTTCCCACCATCATTATTTTGAATTTTCCTGCCACCATTCAAGTCTGCCTGCCAGGGGCAGATGCTTGATAATTTATTTACTATTGCTTATTATGAATATCATGAGAGGTCTGGAATTCTAAAATTGTAAATGGTTGGGGTCCAGAAACATCTCTGTAGGGAGCTAATCCATTTTGAAAGTCATTTGGGAGTCTCTGGATCAAGGCTGTTAATGCACTGGAATAACGCCCAGAGGCAGATCGTGGGCATGAGAGCCAGGACCCCAAGTGGACAGGGAGACGGGAAGGGACAGCCATCTCCTGGAGTCTTAATCTTTAAACCCGCATACCTGGGTTTTGCTTCTAGAAGCTCATAGCCATTGGGGTTTCACCTAGAGGGGGTGAAGAGGCACACCTGCTCCATCTGAGGTGCCCCTGAGGAATTGGCTCCATCCGGGTTCTGGAGAGATCTCCAGCAAACTGCTTTCTTCTGGGATTCACTGCTGTGTCTCAGATTGCATTTTTAAGGGCAGACACATCTCTATACTTTTATTTGGGGGTTACGATTGTTTTGGTTTGGGGAGATGAGCAGTGGTCAGAGGGCCGGGGGACACTCCTGCGATTCTCAGTCAACCAGGTTGTGGTTCAAAGCAGGGGCCCAAATCATGGTGCTTCTCAGATCCTGCACTGGTGTGGATTGCCCAGGCTGCCCTAGTACTGCTTGAGACCCCTAGAGACACACCCAGTGCTGCTCAAGGACTGTGGGTGCCGGGAATTGGTCATAGTCAAGGCATTCACCCACATTATCTCCCTGTCTCCACCAAGTAGTTTTTGGATAAAAGAATATTAACAGGGATAAAAGGCATATTTTGAAAGTGACAGAGGTGGGGCCCGAGTTACCTTGCACGTGGCCAACCAAGGTTCGATTCCCAGAATCCTATGTGGTCCCTTGAACACCGCCAGGGGTCATTCCTGAGTGTAGAGCCAGGCATAAGCCTGGGCATTTCGGGGTGTGTCCCAAATACAAATTAACAACAAAAAAAATGACAACGTATCAATTCAGCAGATGACTTAACAACCCTAACAGTTTCTGTGTCTAACAACAGTTTCAAAATACATAAAGCAAAAATGAACAGAACAGAAAGGAAAATTAGACAAATTGTGGTAGACAAACATTCCACCATCCCTTGCCTAGTCATTGATTCAAGTAGATAGAAAAGAAATAAGAACATAGAAGATTTGAACAATAATCTCAGTAAACTTACACATCAACATTTATAGAACACTCAGAACAGTTATCACAGGGGTAGACACCAATAACCTCCTCTAACTCTGAGGTTCAGAGGTTTTAAACTGCCATGGTCAGTGCATATGGGAAACTAGGGATTTCATTCCTCTCCTCATCCCCCAGTCATGGGAGAGATGCTCTACTCCAGATACCAGAGAATATGGGGGCTCATAGTTCATTCATCCCGGCTTGTGCACACTGGAAAGAGAAAAGTTGAACAGATTAGTACTGGGTGCTCCTAGCAGCAAAGCAGGGCTCAAACACTTTGGGAGGAGAGTTCATAAAAAACTTTCAAAAAGTAAATTGAATGGCATTTGATATATCTATCTCAACAAAGATAAAATAAAATTATTGTTATTTGCTACATGGATTACTCTCAAAAGAATTATACTAAGTGAAGAAAAAACAGGGGTTTTTTTTGCTTGTTTGATTTCCAGGTTTTTTTGTTTGATTGATTGTTTTATTTTGGGGCCACACCTGGCTGTACTCAGGGTTTACTCCTGGCTCTGTGCTCAGGGATCACTCCTACCAGGGATCAAACCTGGGTAAGGCAAGGACCTTACCCAGGAAACCATGGTTTTTTAGGATTCTAGAATAAATGAATAAGGTACAGTTGCAGTAAGCACATCAGTGGGAAGGGAAGGAGGTCTGAACTCTAAGAGGCTCAAGAAAGCATTGAGGATGATAGTAAGTCTAATAATCTTGATTGTCAAATGGGCTAATGACAGTAGACACATTATGTAAATATTAAGTAGGATATTATGTAAATTCCCGCCCGGGATCAAACCGGGGACCTTTCGCGTGTGAGGCGAACGTGATAACCGCTACACTACGGAGCGATAGCACATCTGTAGGGCATTTGCCTTGCACGCAGCCAACATGGCCCACCCGAGTTCGATTCCTCCGCCCCTCTCGGAGAGCCCGGCAAGCTACCGAGAGTATCTCGCCTGCACGGCAGAGCCTGGCAAGCTCCCCGTGACGTATTCGATATGCCAAACACAGTAACAACAAAGTCTCCAATGGAGACGTTACAGGGCCCGCTCGAGCAAAATTATGTAAATATTTATAATATTATAGGATTAGGCTGGAGCGATAGCACAGCGGTAGGGTATTTGCCTTGCACACAGCCAGCCCAGCCGAGCCGGGTTTGATTCCTCTGCCCCTCTTGGAGAGCCCGCAAGCTACCAAGAGTATCTTGCCCGCACAGCAAAGCCTGGCAAACTACCCATGACATATTCAATATGCCAAACACAGTAATAACAAGTCTCAAAATGGAGATGTTACTGGGCCCGCTCCAGCATTATAGGATTAAACAAACGTGCTTATATGTTACTTATCTTCAGTAAGAATACCAGGAGAAGACAGGAGGACTCAAGGACTAGAGCATGTGCTTTAGATGAAGCAACCCCAGGTTCAATCGTGGAATCTATATGGTTCCCTGAATATGACTGGGTATGGCCACCCCCTATCACCACTACCACCCAAAAAGAAAAAACGCCGCAAAAAATACTTATATATGATCACATGTGTAGTTGTCATGTGTAGGAGCCTAGAAGTAGACAGAGACACACTCATAAAGCCAAGAGTAGTAATAATCTTTGGGGAATAAGGACACAGAAAGGGAGTGTCACAAAACTATCCAGCACTGCTACCTCTTGTATTTTACATGAATATCACATGTACAACTTGTGCTAAAACACTGATTTGATTTTCCGATAAAAGAAAGAGCAAAATGGAGCTTGATAAGAATATTCAGACCTGGGGGGGATGGGGGGTGGGAGGGATGCTGGGACCCGTGCTGGTGGAAGATGGGCACTGGTGGAGGGATGGGTACTTGATCATTGTATAACTGAAACCCAAGCACAAAAATTTATAAGTCTATAACTGTACCTCATGGTGTTTCACTAATAAAAAAATTAAAATAAAAAAAATTAAAAAAAAAGAATATTCAGACCTCCCACAAGCACTGGACAATCCAGAGACTGTTGACTCTCTCTGGGGCTTCCGTACCACAGAAGTAATCCCAGCTGAGACAGAGGCACAGGCAGAGGGATGGGGAAGGTCAATTTGGAAAGGAAGATGCAAAAAACAAGGAGTGAAAGTACTCTGATTCAAAAGACTAAATGGACTGTACAAGAGTCATTCCTCTTCTGGAATGAGACAGTCAACCTGAGGAAGAGGCCCCTGACCCAGTAGAACAGGGTTCTGGACTGGCAGACCCAGGAGGAACCCTCAGAAGCTGTTCTGAGGGCACAACAGGGTGCAGAGGTGGAGAGGGGCTGGTGGTTCCAGATCAGGCTGCCTACGGCAGACTGAGAAGGCCAAGGGCAGTGCTGTCATGGGAGCCATGCCCTGCCTCTGCTCCTCCAGTAGGGAAAGGTCCTGAGTCAACACTGGCAGGGTGGGGGGTTGGGGGGAGGGGACAGGAGGACCCCAAGGACCCTGCTCTGAGATTCCTCAGGTCTGTCCTTATATACTGTCTTATACCCCCCCCCCATCCCCTCTTCTCGGGTTTTTCTTAAGATTCTGTTGAGAGTTGAGCAAGGGCTCCCTCTCCCCAGACAGCATGTCGTCTCTTCACCTCCTCACTCACATAACCTCCTAGTTCCCTCACTGTCCTTTGGCCCACCAGTTGTCATCTATACCATGCATTTCTTCATTCCCAAATATTCTGGAGCACCGCTGAATGGGTTCAAGCTTGGGAGGTTGAGTCTCCCTCAAGCTGAGCCTCTCTCCAAATTTTCCACCCAATTAAACTACCTAAGTAGACGCTCTGAGACTTCATCCCTGAAGCACCCCAAAGTTTCCAGCTAGCCACTTTCCCTTTCTCCCTGTAAATTGCTTTGGGGACCACAGAGTCCCTTGGCACCCAGGGAGCTTTTAAATGTGCTTCCTGCATTTAGCTTATTCCCTGGGAGACTGGGGGCCAGGAAGGAGCTGGGAGCTGCCCAGTCAAGGGGTCTCTGGCTGTCCCCTGTAAACTACTGGGTCCTCTGCTCAGTCCTGAGAATCCCCAGCTCCAGACTAGCCAGTCCAGCCAGTAATGATGCATTTTGAGCTCTTGGCAAATCTCTCCAAATTCTCAAGACTCCGCTCAATTCTCTCTTTATACCTATCTCAGTGAGTTCTCTGAAGTCTGGCTACATTCTCTCCATTGACAGAGATGGGTCAGCTGAAAGCTGGGGCCCTACCATGTGGGGGGCCCTAGGAAGAAGAAGCTTGGGAGAGCTCCTATGACTTCTGATCACTGTCCACAGCAGAGAGGACCCTTATACCTGCAGCATCCGGGGGTCCAGAGAGAAGGAACCAGAGGCACATAGAGGTGAGTGAAAAGTGGGAGAGTAGCGAGAGGAAGGGGAGTAGTGGAGACTCAGGCTTTCCAGGGAGGTACTGGGGCCTTGGCATCCCCTCAGCTCACTGTGTGCCGTGAGACTTAGTGGAGCCTGACTTGGGGGCATTTGGCCAGGAGGTGGGTGGAATGGTAAGGACATGAGGCTGATACACAAGGCGCTACCTTGTGGGTAGGTCAACACCCCAGTCTCGGCTCCCTCAGGCTCACCCCAGGAAAAGGCAGGCAGCGAGATGCCCAATGCTGCTCTGCAGAGACGTGGCTCAGGCTGTGTGTGTTCATGTTAGTGTGTGTCACTGTGAGTGTGTGCCACTTTGACTGTGTGTGGGGATGTGGATGTGTCAGTGTGGTTGTGAGGATACAGATGTGTGAGTGTGAGATATATGAGTGTGTGATGTGGGTTACTGTGTGTGACTGTGTGGATATGTCAGGGTGGGTATGTGAGTATGTGATATGTGTGACTGTGTGTGTGTGTGCGTGTGTGAGTGCGTGTGGAGATCTGGATGTGTCAGTGTGGGTACGTGACTGTGTGAATAAGTGAGTGTAGAATATGTGAGTGTGTGATTTGTGTATGAGTGTATATGGATATGTGGATATATTAGTGTGCGGAGGGAGTGTATGGATACTTGAGTGTATGATATAAGTGACTATGTGGGAGTATGTGTGTATGTGTGTGCATGTGTGTGTATGTATAGAGGTGTCAGTGTGAGTGTGTGTGGAAATGTGTGTGAACATGTGTTTGTGTGTGTGACCTTGTGAATGCACGTGTGTGTGGTGTGTTTCTGAGTATCATAAGTGTCTTAGCACACATACATGGTGTGTGGGGTTGGGGGACCCACGCTAATGGACCATGTTCTGACAGGAATCAAATGCTGCAGAGGTTCCTCCTGACTTTAGGGGTGAACACAGAGTACAAGTTGCAGGGGGCTGTAGCCTGGATCAGCTCCCGGAGCACAGGACAGCACTACGCTGCCTCTGGGCCTCGCCCCACTTCCTGCACCACCTGCTAATGCACACTATGTAAATGGGGCGCCTCTCCATGAACCCAGGCTTCTATATCTAGGAATAAACCTCTGATCAAGTTTTCAGGTCCCCCATTTCTCTGGAAAGGATCAGGCAGAGGTAAGATTCTCCTCTGAGTCCCCAGGACTAAGGCAGGACTCTCCTTTCTGGGGACGTGACCCTACATTCCTGAGCTCTGCCAGCTTTTGGGCCCCATGTCCATAGTGTGTGAGAGAAGGAGCAGTCGCGGGACCATGCAGCCTGGCCCACTGGTGGCCCAGGGAGACCCAAAGACCCCAGAGTGAGAGGGTCTTTGATGGGATCCCAGAGAGTGACAAGATTGAAGCTGGCTCAGGGCACCTTTTTTGGTCCTGCAGCACAGATTTAGGGACACAGTGAGGAGGATCCGTGTGGGACTTGCTCACTCAGGGGCCGCCAGCACGTGTCCTGGTCAGGGATTGGTCCCATTCCCGCTCGCAGTGAAGCCTCAGGGCTGAGTTACGCAGGAAAGGACCTCACACGACAGAGTCGCTGACAGGAGTTGGCGCTCATCCCAGACTGGGCCCTCCATAGATCTCTGACACACGATCAAGGCAGAGGGTGAGTCCTGCTCTCAGCTCGGAGGAGACCTTGGGGCTGAGGGGACAGCCATGACAAGAACATGCTGCCAGACAAGAACAACCAATATCTGGGCTTGACAGACAAACATCTGCTGTGAGAACAGGGCAGGTGCCGGGCTCTGTGGCCTGGTCTGAGACGCAACTTCCAGGAACCCTCTGGTGACCTGTTTCTCATTCCGCACATGGAGATCCATTGAGAGGAACCCTCGGGGCACCTTCCATGCAGAGACTCCTGAGTGGTTCATTATCCCTGAGGGGTTCTTGGACACAGAAAGTGGGAGTTAGGTCTGTGCCAAGAGGTCCATCAAATGAAGCTCCAAGGCCCCAAGAACAAGGTCTCCTGGGGGTGAGGTCACCCCTCTTATCTAATGTGGAGACCTCAGAGCTGCTGGGGTACAAACTCAGTGATAGATCCCACAGTCAGCAGCCCCTTAAAACTGGGCTGAGGAGACACTCAGAGGCCCACAAGTTCATAATCAGGAAAGAGCCACCCCCACGGGGGACAGTGTGAGATTGGGACCACAGGTCCTGAGAATAGGAGAGCCTTAGTGGCCCTCAAGTTCGTGGGTCTCAGAAGTGGGCCTGGGGAATACAGGGATAGTACTGCAGGTAGGGTGTTTGCCTTGTACATGGCCAACCTGGGTTCAATCCCCGCCATCCCTTATGAACCCCTGAGCCTGCCAAAAGTAATTCCTGAGTGGAGAATCAGGAGTAACCCTGAGAACTGCTGGGTGTGGCCCCCAAACCAAAATACAAAACAACAAGTGGGCTGGGCCAGAAGCATGGGTGCAGGTGCTCAGACCTGAGTGAGAAACTCTGTGGGAGCCCAGCAGTCAGTGGGGACCCACTTTTCAAGGTGCTTCTGAG